CGTGCTTCACGAGAGCGATTCCTGACTACCTTGCTGTGAATGGCACAACTCACACAATAATGTAGTTTCACATACAGCTTGGGAAGCACATAGGCTGAGAAACAGAAAGTAAGAGGCATAACAGTAGGTATTACATACCCACATTGCACTTGTTCTCTCATTCTATCAGTCAAAAATAAACCTACTTACAAAGTTTCCTTCCAAAGCAATCGTTCAGTTTGATAACTTAACACATCTACATTTTTACAAATGAATAGTCCCCTACTAACCCTTGTCACCACAGGTACCAAATCCACAGCCTACTGGCAATAAACCAACAATCCAGTTCCTTCAGCAGTTGCACCAGTCCTAATGCCTGTTCCTGGGCCCCTTCTCCTTGCCTAAGTAAATTAACTTGTCTTAAGAAAAATAAATGATCGGGGCGCCAGGGTGGCTCAGTTGTTAAGCATCTGCCTTTGGCTCAGGTCATGATCCCCGGAGGCGGGGATCGAGCCCCACAGCGGGCTCCCTGCTCGGCGGGGAGCCTGCTTCTCCCTCTCCCACTCCCCCTGCTTGTGTTCCCTCTCTCTCGCTGTGTCTCTGTCAAATAAAGTCTTAAAAAAAAAAAAGAAATGATCAAAATAACAGAAAACACACTGCTCCAAAGATCACCCTTGACCAAATTAGACTACCTTCATTTTTGAAACATTCTTAAGATTTAGTCTGTACATCTTTATAACGGGTACTCGAGTGTTCAACAATCCAGAAAGGTTGCTACGTTTTTCATGTTTATACCTAGTGTTCCCCAAATGCTGATACATGATAAACTCTACAAGTCTTTTGCGATCTCACCCTCTAAATAGGCAACCACAAATCATGACCCAAAGACTGCACTATCACACAAGGCCCCACTCTGTCCAGACAAAATTAAAACAAACGAAGCGAAAATACCGGTCTCTTCTACCAACAGTAATCCTAAAGGCCCGCAGAAATTGCCTGGGACGCGCCAGAAACGTGCCCACAAACAGAGCCTGCAGGTAGGGATGGGTTGTGCCAGAAGCTCACTCACCGTCGAAGACACTCGCTTCGGAAATATCCCTGACGGCGGCGGCCTCTACTATGTTCCGAATAACGAACTTCTTAATGGCCTTATCCTTGGGCACACAACGGGCGCAGTTGGTGCAGCGAATAGGCTGCACGTGGCCGCGGCCCTTTTTGGCACGACCATTATTCCTTCTTTTCTTGGTCTGCATCAAAATGAAGATCCTGTTACCAATGGGGCGCAGCTTCCCCAACCTTAAGCCCCCTACCGGCTACAATCGCGCCGGCAGCCCCGAGAATGGCTCTACTCAGATCTTCAGCCCCTCTGCACATCCCTCCAAGGTCGAAGCAAATACACACTCTATGTACTCTCCGCCATGATCCAGGCTTTCAAGTCCCCACAATCTCAAGAATCTGTTCCTCTCAGGACCCCACGCGGACCCCCAGCACTCACCACGCGCCACAACTCACCATCTTCGTAGCGAGACCCGAGAGAGAATGTAGCGCCGGTCCCGACTCTCTTATATAGCACGAGATCCCTACGCGCACACAGGAAGACTATTTAGGAGACGTACAGCGAGAACGGCAAAGCCACTTCACTCAGATTTTCTTCATTATTAAGCGTTTACGCTGAAATGTAGTGGTAGAAAGGCGTTTCTCGGGTTTTGTTATCCGTGATAGAAAGTGACCATGGGACTATTTAGCCGGCTGGCGGAAGAAAATTAGGGTTATATGTCTCCCACTAAGCACTACGGACCCTTACCCCGGAAGTAATCCTGGGCGTTGTAATTATCCGGTTTTGCGACGCTATGCGCGGAAATTTCCCGCGCAGGACCACAAATCGCACTCCCTATCGGAGGTCAGAGTCGGGGAGGTGCATGGGAGTTGTAGTGGAAAGCTGGCCGGCCCTTGGCTCCGAAGCTCTGTGACTGAAGGCGGCGCCGTGCCACCGGGGGACGCTCTCGGCTCATTTCTCTGACAATACTGTTACTTGGTGTAGGATTGAGAAACGGAAATCCTGGGGGAAAACAAAATATTTTGTTAATTCCTCCTTCCAGTATGGACAAAACCCCACGAAAGGCCATAGGCAAGTACTTGGGTGTTAGCGCTGTTTCTTATTCACTATTTTTTTTTTTAATATCACTGGATCATGTTAGCATAGCGCCAGACACTGTAGTAAGCGCTTTATAAATATTAACTCATTTTACCTTCAACAAGCCTATAAGGTAGGTTCTATTATTATCCTCCCTTTACAGATTGAAAAACTGAAGTTGCTGAAAATTACAGAGGTGTCCTGGCTCCACTACACTATGCTGCCTTCCGCCTAACAAAAAAATGGGTGAAGGTATATAACTTGGAACAGTAACTTCAACGATTTTGATTCCGACCCATAGCAGAAATGTATTTTACTTTGGTTCTCAATACATACACAGACGTACAAAACTGAAATACAAATTTCATGAAACAGTACCTGCCCTTAGGACATAAGGGGCAATGATATGTTCTGTTTTCTACTTTATTTTTATTTTTTTAAATATTTATTTATTTATTGTTATTTATTTGACAGAGAGATCACAAGTAGGCAGACAGGCAGGCAGGCAGAGGGAGAAGCAAGCTCCTGGCTCTTCCCACATTGGGCTCCATCCCAGGACCCTGAGATCATGACCTGAGCCGAAGGCAGACAGACGCTTAACCGACTGAGCCACCCAGGTGCCCGTGTTTTCTACTTTATTTTAATAAATGTTGATCAAGCCCCACTAAAGTGATTTCACCACTCAATGAGTCTGGCCCGTGATTGAAACATACCTTCCTGCATATAAGCTCCATTTACCTTTGGAGAGCCTTCAGAAAGTCTTTAGCTTTGGGCAGGAGTGCTATCTGTGGACAACCACCCAGTTGTCTCCAAAGTTGAAAAAACTAGAATGTCAAGGGGACCTCCCAGAATTCAGACCAAAGGTGGTACAGATGGAGACCAACCATTCATTCATGAGTCATTCTGGAGTCCGAACACCAGTCACTTTCCCTCAAAAGAAACCCATCATGGTTTCTTTTCACCTCTAATCCACTTTACTGGGATTGAAGTTTATTTTCTAACTTTTGTTTTGGCTTCAGAACAACTATATTCATGGTCTCTCTCGAGTTTGAATTTGTTAGTGTTAATGGGTTATGGGAAATGATAGACTTTAGATGGAAGTATCTTCAATTTTCACTTCAGTATAGTCTCATGGAAAACAGAAGGCAGACATTAGTGTATGGATTGGCAATGAGATAGGAGAGAACAGGAAAAAAGTTCAGAGTGAAGGGGACAGAAAATAGTTAATATTTAAGACAGAACCAAGTTAATGTTCTTGTCTTGGCTTTTTGGATTTTTATAGCCTGGGAGTTTCAGTGGCGGCATTCCCTGGCATAAAGATATGGGCACAGAATTTGGAGTAACACACTCCTGGGTTCAAGTCTGGGTTTTGACATTTATTGGTTGATTAGTCTGGACACGTTGTTTATTCTCTCTTGGGCTTTTATTTCTTCACTAGTAATGGTGGATCATTCACTTTTAGGTGGTTTCTACAATTACATGAATACTTGGCACAGTGCCTTGCACTTATGCTCAAGAAGTGGTAGACCCTATTATTATCATCATTCATGTTATTGTAACTTGCATTTCCTTGGGCATATAATGTATTTTGCATATAGTAGGTACTCAAAAAATGTTTGATGAATCTCTGCTTTGGATGGATAGGCAAGTTGGGCTTCCTCTATCCTGAAGGCACTCCTGGTAGGAAAATCTCCACTTTCCACTGTAGGTCGAAAATTCTGTTCTTTCTGTAGCAACAGCTTGAGCATTCTTGTTTGGCTTCCTCTTAATCTTAGGCTTGTTCACCTTCAAAATATTTAGTAGTTGGTACAGTGTGCAGCAAGGAGATCCCCCTCCCTCCCAGCAGAAAATTACAGCAAAATCTGCAAAAACAACCAGGGGTGTTAAATTACTCATGTTTATTTATAACAGACCTTCAGCCAGTACAGTACAAAACTTACAGTAGTATATCTCCGTTACACAAATATTTACTTACAATATATTACATATACAAAATGCTTTGCAATAAGTCTCAAAAGCTAGTTTAACTCCCCTTGAGAAAGGAGAAAAACCCTTTAAAAAAAGGGGGAGGGAGAACCAAAGGAAGAGGGGGAGGTGAAAGGGTAAGGTCCAAGGAGACACCAAGCATAGGCTACAAATGAAACCCTGGGAGAGAGAGAGAGGAGAGGTGGTATTGCACTTGCTTCTGTGTTTTATTTTTTTTCTTTTTGTTCTTCATAACTTCTGATTAAAAATATATATAATATATATATATTATGTACACAAGGAAATAAGCTGCTGAAAGTATTACAAAATCCCATCCGCAGCTTGGACACTGACACAAAAAAACAAAGGTCTGGAAAAGTGTCTATTTAGAAATTTTCTTGTGTGGTGTTGGTCTTGAATATCAATATAAAAGGAAAACACCTCTTTTCTCCATGTGGGTTTCAATGTTTTTGTTTTTTTTTTCTTTTTCTTTACTTTTTTTTTATGCAAAAGGAGCTGGGAGAGAGCATGAGGATGTTTGAGTTTCCAGACCTGGAAGGCTCTGGAAAGTAGGATATTGTACCTAAGACCCTGGTTAAAGTGCAGTGATGGTCTGGAGAGAGACAGAGTGCCCTTCTCTCCCCTCCTTAGCACCTGGTCTTGCCCTTCCAGTCTCTGCTCTCATGGGCTCAGAGTATAGCCTCAGAGCATAGTCCTTCATGTTCCAGGAGGTTACAGGTGCCAGAGCTGACTGGGGGAGGGGACAGGGGCAACCTAAGGCTCTGATACCCTAGAAGGGACTAGTCCTTATGAGGTGTCACCAAGTACATAGCAGACGCAAAAGAGGTGGTAAGGGGTAGGTCTAACAGGAAGGGGCTCAATAACCAGAACAGTTGAGAAGACCCTAGATATTAATCTCAGCTCTGCTGCCATCCTGAAAGAAGGAGCCAGTTCCCTGGGGTACTGTTGAGAAGACTCTCCCCTTCTCTAGAGACCACTCTCCTTCCAGCTAACTCCCCCATCCTCTGCCCTTGGCAACATCTGTTTATTGCTACATTGTCAAGGAGGAACCATCAACCCACAAAGCCCCTCCTTGACAATCTGGTTCTCTTAGGGAGACTACATAATGGGGGAGAAAAAGAAGGGAGAAAAGTTTTTCTAAGGTCTCCCTTCCCATAGAGGGTAAGGTAGACTCTTCCTAGAGCCCTTAGGAGCCCCAATCCCAGGGTCTGTTCCTTAGCCAACCCTTCACCATCCCCCTAAATTATCCCTGATAGGGAGTGAGAAAAGTAGGAGGCAAAAGAGCCAATAAGGAAAGGACATATGGAAAGAAAGATGGAAGGGAAGAGAAAAGGAGAGAGAGAGAAGGACCAAGTGTTACAACTTGTGAGGTGTTGTGTTTGGTTTTTTACTTTCTTTTTTTTTTTTTTTTTTTTAAACATAGAAAAACAGCCTTTGGTTTGAATCTCAAGGAAGCAGAGAATGGGATAGCTGTGGCCTTGGGCAGAAAACGCTTGTAGAACGAGACCTCCACTCACAGTGGAGCCGTATCTCCTCCTGCCCCCTTCTCACTAACTAGGTTACCCAAAAAGCCAGGGATCTCTGCTGTGGCCAGGAGGAGCATGCCCCCTCCTGCCCTACATCTGGGAACTGAGTGTAGAAGGGGGCAGTAGAGGATGACCCCCAGTTCAGTTGTGCCCATCCCATTCTTGCTGGGACAAGAATGGAATGAGGTGAGGGGCAAATGCCCTTCCTCGTCCTGGGATAATTTTTGGTTATACTGAAAATTAGGAGAAAAGAGACACCCTTTTCTCCCTGCCACTGATCCTAAGAACAGGGCCCAGAAGCCTGGGAATGAGGGTGAATCCTGCAGGGGGGAGAAGAAGAAGGCAGCATGACTGAGGGGTTGAGATAACCCCTTATCATCAGGCAGCAACCCACTAGTTTCTCATAGGAGAGGGACGGCAGGAGCCCCTGAGAGCCTAGGAAGGTCACTAGAGTGAAGAAGATTAGAGGTGGAAGAGAAAGAAGAATTTTAACCCACCCCCTTCCCATGCCCTGGTTCCCAATTAGGCACCTGTGGCTCCCAACATGTCAGGGACAGGACTGTAGACCTAGCCTTGGCCCCTGAGAATATAAAATTGGGGCACTCCAAGGAGAGAAAAACCACCACTGAGTAGACTGGCAGGTTGAAGAGAGTAGCAGTGTTGGGGGTTGTTTGAGGAGAGAAGAGATAGATCACATCCCAGAGGGAGATTCCCAAATGTGGGCTTTGAGGAACTCATATTACTAGAGGAACTCATATTACTAGAGGAACGTCAAGAGGACCCTCAGTCCCACAGTGCCTGGGGAGAATTTCTTCAGCCCCTCCTACTTCCCAATGAGGAAATTCTTCATTTTTCAAGCATAGTGCAAGCTGCCTAACGTGAGAGGGCACAAGAGGTATGGAGTACCAGGTTGAAGGGTCCCAGAGAGGAGATATAATGCCACAGAGCTCAGGTAGGGCCAGAGGGAGTTATCAGCATCAAAAAGAAAGATAATGCAAAAGGTGAGGACTTAACACAAGAAGCTCAGAACTCTTAGGACCAAGAGGAGCTTCCTACCCCGAGGGCTGTTAGAGAAAGCTGGATCAAAGGAAGAAAAATTAGGCCTAAAGTGGGAGGGGTCTGTGGGCCGGAGGGTGGGGGAGTGGCAAGTGACTGATAAAAGTTAAGAGAAAAAAGCAAAAGAAAAATCCACAAATTATATTAATAAATAACTCTGAATATGCTGGGATGAGAGGAGAAGAGGAAGAGGAGAAACATAATCGAAAAGGCCTGTTTCATCACAATGCTTAAGTCAGGGTAGAGGAGAATAGGTGAGGAGGGGTCAGGGCCAAGTGTGAAGTCAGGTAGCCAGTGGTCTAGGCTACCGAGCAAAACTCCTTGGGATGAAGTGGGGACAGAGCTAGACTCCTGTAGGTAGGGCAGTGAAGTGGTGGACTGAGGGGAGGGCGGTAGGTGGCTAGCCCACCTTGTGCTCCCCCCGGACAATGTGGGAAGAGAATTCGTACCGGTCCTGGCTGTGGTAACCACAGATGTTACACTCAAAAGGGTCTCTGAAGCCATGGCAGCCCATGTGGATGGTGAACATGACATGGTCCAGAAAGAGGATTCGGCAGTGCTCACACTTGAAGGCCTTCACGGGCTCACCGCTCTCGCCCACCACCCGGAGCACTTCCTTGGAGGGGCCCGGGGTGCCCCGCAGTAACCCCTCCTGCGGCTTGGGGTCCTCTTTGGCGTAGGCAGGACTGGGCCGGCCCACCACAATGGTGGGAGGTGGCTGGGGTGGGGGACCCTGAGGGAGGGATACCACCCCCCCAACCCGATCTTCGTGGTTGCTCTCTGTGTCTGTGGAGTCCTGGCAGCCATTGCTGGGGGATGCCCCGGGGTCAGTCAGGGGGCCTCGGGCCCGGTAGAGGAGGGGGCCTCCATCGGCCAGGTCCTCGGGTCCCTCACCTGCTTCTCGGGATCCCGGAAGCTCCAGTCGACCAGGGAGGGGCTGCATCTGGGTGTAGACAGAGCTGATGACAGGTGTGAGTTCTGAGATGCAGTTGGTAGGTGGAAGGCGGAGGGGACGCAGATGTTCTGCCCCCACAAAGGCCAGAGAGCCTCCGAAGCCAGGCTCCAGGCCGTGATGTGCCACCAACTCCACATCCTTCTCATAGCCCCCCGAGTTCACATCATAGGGGATGTCAGAGAGGCTGAAGCGCATCTGCTTTTCACCTGTGGAGGAGAGGATCTCAGCAGAGCTGGGTTTGGAGAATTCCTGAGTTTCCCCAGGATGACTTCTTTGTTTGCTTACCCTGGGGATGGCTGTAACATTATTTACCAGCCCTCATTCACTTCCCTCAAGGTCAGGACCTCTGTGGGGCCACTCCCCAACTCCGGGCTATAATTGTAGGGAAAGACTCAGTCCCAGCCTGGGGCTGATCTTTAATACTTCCTTCATTGCCCTTTATAAAGCTAGAGAGGAACCTCAAGGCCAGGTGGGTGGACCCCATACTCATACTTCCTCCCTGACACTCAGGGCCCCTCTCTCAGATCCCACAGGTGGAAGTCCTTGCTGTTCTCAAAAACTGGGAGAACCTGAGCTCCCTGACCCCCCTCCTCTTAAAACCACCGCAAAAGCCCTCAACACCCTCTCGAGGTACCTTCTCCCCTATCACGCCCCTTCTGTTCTGGGGATGGATTCTGAGCACCAGAGCCTATCAGACAGACCACTTTTTCCCCTCCCATCAAATCTCCAGGCCCAACTGGTCTGATGGCTACCAGAGCTCAGGTTTAGAGGAACTGTGGCTTAAAGCTGATGTCTCCTCCCCAACTGGACTCTTACCTACAAACTTCTGGGGGGTGGAGCGCTTGCGTTTGGTGAGGCTGTTGGCCAGCCGATCAATGAAAGTTGGCCGCTCAGAGGATGAGTGCAGCATGGAGTCTGGCACCATCTCCAGGTCACGTATCTCGTCACCTAGAGGGAAGGAGGTGGGGACAAGTCGAGCATCTGAATCGGAGTGGCATTGGCTCAGCAGCCTTTGCCTGGAGAAAATCAACAGGTCAGTAGCCAAGGAAGATCATCCCCAATACCTGGAAAATTGGGTTCCGCTCACTTCCCCTTCTCTAAAGCTCATCCTAGTAACGTTTCAGTTAATTTGAGGACCATTAGATACATGTGACCCTTGGTTTCATACTTCCTTGTGTTCTCTCTCTCCCATTAGACTGAGGACATAGATCAGAACTTCCCTGACCCTGGACCTTCCTGCAGCACCTACCACAGGGCTCTGCACCAACTGGAGTGCTTGGCAGATTTACGAGGCAACTGTCCCTTCTCCATAGACCTCATCCCTTTGTCGGGGGGGCGGGGTAGCGCTGGGATCACCCTTGCCCTCACTCCCTCTGGCCCTGCCTACAGCCACACCTGGTTGGCCGGCCAGAGCTTGGGCTTCAGTGCTGAGACTCTGTAGGTAGTTGTGACACCGCTCTTTGTGCTCCTCCAGGGTACTCTGCTGTTTGTAGCTGCGGCCACAGTAGTTACACTTGTACGGCTTGCCCACTGTGGGGGAGGAGACTGTGGAGGAGACAGGAGAGACATGGCATTGTGCCCTGGCTCTACAAAGCCATCTGGGAGCAAATATGCACTGGCATGAGGAGGAAGGGATGCGGCTCAAGTGAATTCTGCTCGTCTTTCCTTCCCTACCTTCAGCGGCAAGCATGGACAGGTAACCACACCACGGAGAAGGGACCAGTGCACAGCCACGGGAGTAGAGAGGGGACCGGGGCCTACGGCTTTGGACGGCAGCTGGGCCTCACGGTGGCCAAACTGCTGCTCAAAGGAAGGAGGAGCCAGGGACTTTGTAGGGGATCATCCCTGGCAGGCAGGCTGGCCCCACCCTAGGGTCTTAGATTCTGGGGCCCAGACTGTGGTTTAACCTTTCCATGTGGCAGGCGGGTGCAAGTGCTGTTTATCAGACAAGGGGATTTTTTGCTTTCAACCTATCTGCTTTGGTTTGGGGGAAATTGGTGGGCTGGGGTGACAGAAATGAGAGCCCTTAGATCTGCCAATGTGGGGAGGGGCAGTTTTCACTGACCTTTACTTGTGCTTCTACTCCCACCCCTAGCCTGGTTTTGCTGCTTATTTTTCTTTCTGTCTCTCTACACTGAGATACCAAGAGAGCCCCAGAAAAACCATCACTGATAGAGAAATTCTGAGAAGAGAAAAAGAATAAAAGAAGAGAGGGTGAAATAAAGGAGATGAGTAAAAGAAAGAGAACATCAACTTTGAGGGTCTTTTAAAATTTTTTTAAATAAAGAACAAGTTAGGGGCACCTGTGTGGCTCAGTCGGTTAAGCGTCTGCCTTCGGCTCAGGTCATGATCCCAGGGTCCCGGGATCGAACCCCACGTCTGGCTTCTTGCTCAGCGGGGAGCCTGCTTCTCCCTCTGCCTGCCGCTCCCCACCACTCGTGCCCTCCCTCTCTGACAAATAAATAATAAAATCTTAAAAAAAAAAAAGACAACTTTTTTTTTTTTTTAAGATTTATTTATTTGAGAGAGAGAGAGAGTGGGGGAGAGGAAGAGGGGAAGCAGACTCCTGCTGAGCATGGAGCCTGATGTAGGGCTCGATCTCACCATCCTGAGATCATGACTTGAGCCGAAATCAAGAGTTGGATGCTCAACCAACTGATCCACCTAGGTGCCGCTAAAGACAACTTTTGAGAGATAATATTTGTGAGAGGAGAGAGAAAAGTGAGAGAACAAGGTACTGTATATATTATTTTACATATCTTGGGACGCCTGGGTGGCTCAGTCGGTTAAGCATCTGCCTTTGGCTCAGGTCATGATCCCAGGGTCCTGGGATTGAGTCCCGCATTGGGCTCTCTGCTCAGCGGGGAGTCTGCTTCTCCCTCTGCCTGCCGCTCCCCCCGCTTGTGCTCTCTCTCTCTCTGACAAATAAATAAAAATAAAACATCTTATTTTACATATCTTGCTACTATTGAGCAGGGAGGCAGGATAAGGTGTCTCCAGGAGGGTGGTAATTACCCCCCTCCACCCCTTATATATACATACCTACTCTGGGCTTGGTTTAATCAATCTATGCCATTTTGACCTTGCTCTGTAAACCCTAGTCTTTGGGAGATGAGGTGAATGCCATGGTCCCTATCCACCCAAGACTTTTGGGAAAATGGTTTAACATCTGGGAGAGGAACCCCTTTTTTATTATAGTGTGGGTTATATAGAAAGCATCTCACAGAGATGGAACCCAATGGTATACCTGTGTCTAATTCTGTCCCTAATAATCTTCCACAGAACAACATCCAAAATCTACCCTGCTGGCCTCATTGTTGTTGGTTCAACAGTTCTAGGGACCAAGCCATCCTTGTTCTAAACCAGCAGAGGGAGCCGCCCCTTTTCTGAGGAAAAGGAGTATGATTCTTTGGCACAGAACCTTGAACCTTGATGGAGGTCCAGGAAGGCTGCAGAATAGCTCTGTGGCCAGCAAATCTTTTTTTTTTTTTCTTTCTCCCCCCACCGCAGAGCTTCAGTTTCCTCGTCAGCAAAATGAGGATCACATGAGACAAGCGAAATGCTTTGTAGATCATAAAGCCAGCTCCAAGGTGAGAGAACCTAGAACAAGGTAGGTGGCTGGAGAAATGGTGCTGAGGTGATTGCTCTGTCCCTTTAAATCCCAGCCCAAGAGAGTTTAGGAAAAGAGAAAAATATCAAGGAAAGTTGCCAAGGACAGATCCTACTAATTTTTTCCCCTCTGCCCTTCTTCCTGCCTTTTCCCAATTTGAGCTCCTCCTTCCCGCCAGCAGCTTGACTCCTGGTCTCTTCGCAAGGCCAAGCTTAAAACTTAGTAAGATGCTTCAAAAATGCTACCTGCCCAGCTGATTCAGACATATGTTGACTCCAACAGTGTTGGCTGGGGCTATGAAAACTGGGTAGTCCAGTCCCCTGGCATGGATCCCAACACTAACCTCTGGACACTCTTGTGACTTGCTCTTGCCTCTGGGAAGGGGACAGCCTCTTGGGATGGGGAACAGAGGCTTTTCCTAGGCCTCCTTTCTTCCTTTGGAGTTTGGAGGCCCATGGATATTTTTAGGAACCAGTAGGAAGTAGAGGAGAGGACAGACGGTGGTGGTCCAAGACCTCTGGTATCATGGACGGAGGTGATGATGGTGATGGGTGTGGGAACCCGAGCATATGGAAGTGTGAGGAAGGGTTTTTCTGGTGCTCAGAAGTGTGGAGGGGGGTGGGGTACAGATGGTTCTGGCAGTAGCATGAACTTTAAAAAACAAAGGGCGGGTAACTGTTAACAGCCAAGAACATCACCCATGCTCCTTTTGCTCCAAGTCACAGAGTGTGGCAGATGTACATTACCTCATCAAAGAGTCCCCCAAATTCCCCAGGGGGCCCTGCTGCCCAGACGAGGGGTTAGAGAGGCAGGGCCCTATCCGCTCTGTGGGTGATCTGCCCTCCTCAGTGACAGGCACTGTAAGTCCCCGTATACACTGAGCTCTATTTCTGGGTGTACTGAGGTCCCACTCCTCCTCTCTCACTACACTGGTCACTGACCCGAGTGTGTACGGAGGTGGCCAGTGAGCGCATCACGCCGGCGGCAAGCATAGTTACAGAAGGGACATTTGAAAGGCTTCTCCCCAGAGTGCAGCTTGATGTGGCGCAGCAGGTTCCCCTTCTGGGTGAAGGAGGCACCACACTGGTTGCAGTGGAAGGGCCTTTCACCTGCAAGAGAAACAACAGATCGCCAAGGACTGGGCGTGAGGAATTCTGAAGGTTGAACCTCTTCTCCCACCCTCTGCCCCACCCTGCCTGAGGGAAGGTGCTCAAGACAATTTCTGAGAGGCAGAGCTGAGGCATGCACACAAAATTCCTGCTTTCTAAAGATCCCTCGGGAACAGTCTTACCCTGGGAAGGTGTGGATCAGAGATGAATGGCAGAGCAAAGGGCACCAGGCTTGGAACTCTGGGCCAAAAGACCATTAACCCAAAACCAAGCCCTGTAAGACCCACTCTGGAGCCCAGGAGCCCAAAGCCTGAGAAAGCTGAGAAGAGGCTTTTGTTTTCCTTTTTTTTGTTTTTTTTTTAAAGATTTTATTTATTTATTTATTTGATAGAGAGAATGAGAGAGAGAGAGAGAGCATGAGATGGGGGAGGGTCAGAGGGAGAAGCAGACCCCC